CCCCCCACCCCCGGCCTTTCCCTCTTCCTCAGCAGGGGCGAGTAAAGGTGGAGACGAGCCCGGGAAGCTGCCGGAGCAGGAAGAAGAGGAGGAATCCCAGGTTTTGCACGGAACAGGCCATTGCAAATGGTTCAATGTGAGGATGGGATTCGGGTTCATCTCCATGAGCAATCGAGAGGGAAGCCCCTTGGAGTCTCCCGTTGATGTCTTTGTACACCAAGTAAGACCCGGTTTTGTCTTCCATCTCAGCCTGCTGCTTTCGGTTGAGCTCGGTGCGAGTCCGGTTTCACGTGAAGAGCAGTTACCTGTTTTTCCTAGATAAGTAGATCTGTAATTAAAAAGTTGCCTTAGGTAGAGGTTTTGTTGGCAGCATCTGATCTGAGTAAATAAGGTCGTTAGAGCGTGCTCAGTCTCTGGCTGGAGACTTGTGCGAAAGGATAATGTTGTTTCTTCGTATTTGACTCTGTGGTGAGGAACTTTTCCTGTGCTTTTTACTTATTTTTAAATGCCACGTCTTTCTTTGCGACAAGGTTTAACATTTGTCACCTGATCAGGAGCAGATCACTTTTCCTGGAAAGTGATGAAAATTAAGCTCAAAGAAGGATAAATAGACGTCCTTTTCATTTAAATATCATTTGAATACACTTTTAAACGCTTTTCATGTAAACCTCGAATTGCTTTTTAAAAGCTTATCTGAGATGAGTTAGTGAAACTAAAATATAATTACAGTCTTATTTTGCAGTAATTCAGACCTGAGCGTGTCCTCATGGTAATGCACTGCCGCATCTACGTGGTTGGTTGGTTGGTTTGAAATAATCTCCTTGAAAAAACGTAACGGTGAAGAAGTAAGCCAAAAGCACTGTCTCTGCAAAGCTGTTGGACTAAGAAAAAGCCTCTCGCCATTGTTTTTATTTTTAAACATACTTACGTGAACGGTGTTCATATTTTGCACGTAGAAACTTGGGCGAACGCCCTCACGTGAAGGAGTTTTGGACGCAAGAGATATAAAATCATTTAATTAAGGGCAATTTTCCAAAGGCGTAGCGTGGTTTGTTAAGAAGGGGGCCTGTGTAGACTTTCCCTGGTCCTTGTGGCAGTCTCCAGTTGCAACAATGCTAGTTTGAATTTCACCGGTCTTCTCAGAAACGTGGAGGTGCTCCGAGGACTGGAGAGCGGTATCTGCTGGGTAAAGAGACCATTTTGGGCTTGGCTAGGGCCATGTTAGGCAGGCAGAAGGCATCTTAACTTTTTACGTAGTTGTCCATTTTCTATGACGTTTGCAATGAAAAGTGTGTGTGTGTGGGGGGGGGGGGTTGTTCCTTGCTTGTATGGTGAGTGCCCCTTTCTGCTTCCTTTCCATGGCCTGGCCTTACGTTGTGATAACTCTCGCCAGGCGTTTGCAAGGGCCACGCTTCTCATTAGGCTAATAAAAAAAGGTGGCGAAAGCTTTGAAACGGGGCTTCCTTCTGTGGCATGTCGCCTTGCTGCTGGTGGCCGTGGGGGAGAGCAGTTCTGGCCTTGCTGTGTTACGTGTGCGCTCTCCCTAGAGCCTGGGCATCGGTACTGGCTGTTTACATTTAAAATTACGTGCCAAGTGTGAAATCAGAGAGCGAGTTTATTTTTCATGTAAAAGCAATACAAAAGGATTTAAATTCTTACGCTTCCTGCTTTGTACTGACATGTGGGGTGCCCCCCTCTTTGCTGCTACTACTTTTTAGAACTGAATTAATGAAATATTCAGTTAGTAGCATTCTCCCTCTCCCCCCCCCCTTTCTTCCCCTCTTTGTACCTTTTTAAGTCATTAAATTGCACTTTACAGTCCTATAAATTTACTTTATAGATGAAAGAAAACTTTTCCTTCATCTGCTTTTCTCTTAATACTTTTTATTCTCTTTGCTCCTCAAAAAATAGAAGAGAAATTCTTGAAGCACAGCAGTGTTATTAATAAATATCCTGGGAAACCATGACTTTCTTAGAGTAGAGCTGGGCAAATACCTGATAGTTCAACACTTCTCTGTCATGCAGAAATCTACATTTAAATAATACTGGACAAGGTGTGTTGTTCCATAATAGAAAGTATTCACAGAAAATAATAAAAAGGATGTGGCATATTTGGAAGTCTGTATTCAGTTTTGTCCCCTAAAAGATGTGGTCTCCTACAAGCAGGACATGTTAGAAATGTGTATACTTGTTGATGCTTTACTAATCTGCAATTTATCAATATGCTTACGATTTCTAAAACGTGTACTGGTATAAAAAGCAATGAAAAATAGCATGTTTCATGGTGTATAAACTGTGCACCTCAGTCATTTTGAGTATTTCTTAAAGATACGTCTTATTGAGTGAATTTATTAGTAGTCCGTAAGGATTGCTCCTGCAACAAAGAAAATACCTTATGTTTGTCACCTTTTACTTTTTCTTCCTGATGAAATCTAGGATACACATAAGCTTCATGGTAACATTAATCTTCTTTCCATCAGTCAAAAGCAGAATTTTTCTGTTTAGTGTAATGCGGAGAAGCAGTATCTATTTTGCTTCAGAGTACGTTTTAGGTCATTTATATTGCTGAGTAGAGTGCTTTGTGTTAGCTGACTAGCTGAGCAGAGCTAACAGTAGCAGCCAGAGTTATTATTATAAAGTTATTATAAAAATATATTTAAATCAATAATGTTATTTAAGGAGGAGGGTTCATGTTCTTACAAACAGAGTCTGTTGCTGAGCAGTGATTGGACCCTGTTCTTACTAATTTTATGCATTTGAAAAATTTAGTCATGTGAAAAGTCCCTTTCGAGGGAAAGACGTGAGTTTATTAATCTGTCAGAACAAAATATTGCTGTTTAGAACGGCTTTGAAAATGGTTGTTAAAGTGTGTGCACATAGTGCAGTGTGTGTTCACCCACTCTGCAGCGTATGTAGCTGCTAAAATCCTATAGAATCAGTCTAAGCTGAGGAAGAAGCTACTATGTTATTTAGACCAGGTCCTCTCAAAGGCAGTTTGAACCCTGGTAATAGTTCTACTGCCTTACCTTACTTTCTTCTCTTGGTGAAGCTGTGCCAAGTTTGAGATCTTGGTATGGGCAAAAAAACTTTTTAGATGACGAATGAAAATATCCTGTAATAGTTTAATCTTATTATACCTAGTTTTCTGAACTTGCAGCAAATAGTTTTTCTTTCTTCTTGGAGCTTCCCTGGGAAGTTTAACCATTATAGTAATGTTTTTCTGAAGTCAGTGCTTCACTAACTGTATATGTTGATATATTTTTAGAGGAACGATACTTGTGTTCGACCTCCTCCTTCCTCCAATGAAAATTCTGCTTGTGAAACAGCTGCAGTATTGAGGTTTTAAAACCACCCTACCTTTTAAGTCCTCCCTTCGTTTGATCTTCTCTGAACTACTTTTAGTTTGTTGTTACCTTTCTGGTAATGAGGTACCTAGAGCTAGGCGCATTCTTTCAGGTAGAAACATGTCAGCGATTATTTATGTGCATCTCTGTGTGTTTGTGCTTTGCAAATAGGGTACAGTTGTAAACATTTACGCTCTTGTCCTTTCTTAGCTTTACTCTGATACAGTTTAGATCTTTAAGTCACCTGTTAGAACCATTCAGCGTCACAGAAAATTACAAATCCTAAAAACTATTCCATTTTTCTGAACCCTGCCATGTCATATGCGGCAATGTGACTGGTCCGTTGTGTTTCTTTTACAGAAAAATGAATGCTAGTCAGTCTTGTGTAACGCTTAAATCCAACAAACATGCACCTTACTGAATTTAGCTCAACGTTGTTGCTTGCACTGCTAATTAGTTCACGTGGAAAACGTAAGATATCTTCTATTGTCTGAATTCTGCCCTTAGTTATATGTGAACTGTTCTTGTTAAAGATTATTTACTGAAATATGTATTTGTCAAGAGGTAAAACTGAGACTGTTGAGGTGAAATGAGTGAAACCTCTTCTGATGCGCATGGAAAAAAAAGTGTCTTCCTTGCTATGAACTACGAGAAGGGTTTGAGTCCTGAGAGAATCAGAAAAAGGATGGTTTGTTGTTTGTTTAACTGCGTATTCAAAGTTGTACGCACAACTCTGAGCACCACTCTTTTTAGATGCTGGTAGTTGAGCATAATAAACACTGTGGATTCCTTTTTTGCTTACATTTTGTATGGATTATGTTGGAAAAGTCTTTAATTTCCCTGTGCTTGGCATGAAGCTCAGATGTCAAAGATGATAATGAAGAGCGGGGCGTTGGGTGTAAGTAGATGCAATTAAATCCATGTTTGTGAATATCAAAGGTTACAATTTTGTGTTCTGTTTCTGAGCGGTGGTGGATCGCTCAGTTTAGAACAAGTTAACTTCGACCTGGCTTTACAGTCCAAAATTCTCATTGTGTTAAGAGTTTGATTTGAGGATTTCTGAACTGGCACCTTAAACATGATCTTTCCTTGGGATCCTCTTTTATGAGGTCGGGAGAGGAAGGAAGGGAGGAGCAGCATGCAGCACTTGGTATATTTTGTTTTCCCATTAAAAGGAAGATGGTTAGTTTAAAATTTTTCACTTTCATCTAAACTTTCTTTCAATTATTGCAAGTACTGCTACTACAAGTTACTGTTTTTCCAAGATTTGATTAAAAATGGAAGACGGGTTTTTTTTCTTGCAGCAAATCTTTCTGCATTGACAACAGTCTGTTTTATAAACTTGGCTCCTATTTGTTAGTTGTTGCAAATACCTAGAAAAGGGGGAAGAGGAGAATTTCTGAGAATATTCAGTTATGATTGTAAACAGGCAGAAAAATAAACAGAAAGTTAAATACATATGCAGCATCTGAAATGTTTTTTTCCTTTAATTTGAGGGACCATCCTTTTTCATGCCGAATAAGATGCCTCATCTTTAAAGTCCTATTTATTTTAGCCACAGTTAAGTACTTACGCTGTAAGATATACAAAATTGGGCATGGCATGATACGTTGAATACAGACTGTCTCTAGTATTATGAGACATAGGATCCTATGCTTGTACAAGGATGGATTCATTCATCAGTACAGCTTTTCCATTTCACCATTATTATGCTAGGAGCCTGTAAAAAGCTCCTTAATTGCTCAGGGTAACTGGAAGTTCTGAGCAGGCAAGCGGGATCAATAATAGATTGTTCTTTGTTGTTAAATGCGACCTAGCAATGCCACTGTGAAATACAGACGTTTCCATGCAGAATACACTATTCCAAACCTGCCTG